GTACGTCATCCTTAGACTGTACCACTATATTTTTCGCATTTTTTGTTTAATAAAATGTCACTTTTTATCCGGTTCAAGCCCAGAATTTTTAGTTGGCTGGTTTTCTTACTTTTTCCATAAAAAGAATTCAAATCTTGGTTTCAATTCCAAGTAGTTTAGTCAAGTGGTTTTCCCTTTTATTCCAAAAAAGGATGATTTTCCCTGGTTCAATTCTGGATTATTTAGTTTTTCGGTTTTCCTTCTTTTTCCATAAAAAGAATTTAAATCTTGGTTCAATTCCAAGTAGTTTAGTCATGTGGTTGGCCCCTTTTTTCCAAAAAGGATGATTTTATCCGGTTCAAATCCCGGAGTTATCGTTTGGTTTTTTAACTTTTTCCGTAAAAAGTTCAAAAATCTTGGTTCAATTCCAAGTAATTTAGTTGGAGGGTTTTATGATTTTATCCGTAAAAAATCAAGAGATGAGATTTGCATTATAAGTTTTTGGATGATGAATGTAGATGGTGAAACTTGGAATGTTTTTTTGGAAATTTGGAATAATCAAAGAAGGTCGTTTGAAGATTGTAAGGATTCGAAGATTTTAGAGAAGATTGTTAATTTTGGGATGGATAGTGATTTTGATATTCAGTTACTTGTTGATATATGGGGTTGGATTGGATTCTTAAATTTTTCGTTTTCTGAGAGTTTAGGAAGGTGGAGAAATGGCATTATACATATATACATTGGTTTACTTTTTTTGGGATTTATAGAGGATAGGAAAATTAGAATAAGATGTACAAAGTTCGTTGCTATTTTGGAATATATTATGATTAGGATATTTTGTTATAAGAGAGGGTTGATTTCTTATGTTGAATCTTACATAAACTTCATCAGATATGATCATTTCTTCCAAATATCATACTACCATTATGAATTGACGAAGGATATATTCCAAGATTTTAACTGTTCTCTTTACAAGTCTTCTAATATAGAACTTGATGATTCACTATGCGATACCACACATAGATAAAATTTCAAAAGTTTATGCCGATGGTAAGACTATGTACCATAGTCTATCACAAACACCAATACATTCTTTCCATATCAATATTCTTAAAAGATTTATGATTGAACGTATCATACCAGACGCTGATGAGAAGTTGAAAAATCTATGCCGATGAGTATATCATGTACCGTGGTATATTACACGCACCTACCCACTCTCATCCTACAAACCTTCTAATAAAGAAGTTTATGATTCATTGTGTTGGCCATACACTGATAAAACATAGACACTCTATACCGGTGGGTACATTTTGTACCAAAATGTATTACATGTATCATTCCACTCTCACCCTTTTTCTTGTAGTAAAAGTATTTAATGATTCAGCATATAAACCGATACGCTAATGTGACTAAAACCGTGTAAATGATCTACTATTGCAATAGCATAATAGTGTGATACACCTATCCTATCCTTTATGTTTATTTGATGTTTTCTTTCAATTTAGAATACTTGTTATCTTCTTAAAAAATCAAAAAGTAGGTGGCGATTATTAACCCTATCAAAAGAAGGGGAGAAATATTTAGTTATACTACATTGTTACTTGATCATTCTTTAAATAGCAGGCACTCTTGAAAAAAAAGCATGCTATAAATCTAAGGGGGAGAAAAACTAAAATGTTGTTTATTTAGGGGGGGGCATAAATCAAATTTTTTTATTGTTTGGTTTTGACATCATCAAATAAGGACAGATTATGCGATACATATTTGTTTAGATTTGATAATGAAAAATATATACATTATAGCTATGGTTATACTGCTAATTATAGACAGTCAATCTTGTCTAATAAGTGTAACTAATACAAGTTAGATAAGTTGATCTATAAGAGTATGTTTAGTTAGTTAATCTGAAGGTATGTTGATAGAACTTCATATATCAATGCTTGAAGACATTCTCTAATGAGAAAAAGACCCTGAAGACTCTATCAATACCAAATGCATTGAAAGTATCATCAACACGAAGATACCATTCATCAAAGACTGATCAGTGTCTCAAGATGCTGATGTTCTTACACTGATCATGCGATACACTGATGACAAACGATAGTGGTTATTCTCTCTAGATGAAGCTGAAGCTTATCAGCATGACTCCCTGATGCTGATGCTGAAGCTGATCAGCGTGTCACCCTAATGCTGATGCCCCTAATCAACTTATGATGTGCTAGTATTGATATCCGAATATGGAGCGAATCAAATTTACTTGGTGAATCTGGTGTATCTACAAAATTATTATCTCCTAGTTTTAGACTAGTATATATACTACCCTTTCTCATTAGTTGAGAGTTAATGATTTGTATTTTATTCTAAGATAGAGTTTATGTAGAGATAGATCTAAGAGTTCTTGGTAAGTTCATAGATGGTACTCGTTGGCCTCGTGTCAATTGCCTTGTGCACCCATTCTCTTTGTGAGAACCTTTCTTAATGAAAGATATATTTGTGATACTTTTTTGTTCTTCTAAATTTTATTATTCAAATACTTGTGTTCATTTTGTGTTTCTATTAAATTCATACAAAAGTGTTAGGATTTGGGACCTTCAAGTGGTATTAGAGCAAGGATACAAAACAAGTATGAAAACAATAAGACATAAGTCGAAAGAGTAAAGAGACAGAACAATAAGCATGATCACAAAGATACTTTTCACAAAAAAATCTCACTTCGAGAATAGGTGACAAAGATGGTCATATAGACTTACATTAGGTTTTCACCCTAATGATGAGTATACTAGTACATTAAATGGGAATCCCTTTATTTTAATGATACGATCTAATCTAAGTATATTCGGATCCTTACCGCTGATGATATGTTGATGTTGGCACTGGCGCTGATGGACAGCGTGTGAAACATGTTTGACTCATCAGATTATCTGAAAACTAATCGTCAAAGGTATCATCAGAACACTTTCCATCCTCTTTCAGAATTTCTGACTTCATCCACTTGAATTCATCGAGTTTAAGATCTTATAAATGTTTGTTGAGCTTAATAGATATCAACACATGATAGCTTCCTAAAAATTCTTGATGAACTTTGCATTCCGTACGAAGATGAAACAAATGCTCAGTAGGAGCAGCGGGAAGCTCATTAGTGTGCTGAAAGCAAATATGATTTTGACTATCAAGACAAAATATACCTTTTTCAGGCACTTAGTGAACATGCGATGAATAGGATCAACTCTTACTGACATTTTATTATTGATGTAGATAGTTCCAAATGGAAGATTGTATTTTTTGTGTCTAGACTGTCTTGGCTTTGGAGCTGAAGATGAGGAAGATGGCTGAGAATGACCAGCTGAGGGCACTAAGTTCAGCTATTTGACTTTGTTGATAAGTTGTTGTAGTGCCTACTTCCTGAGCATGAGTACTCTTATGTGTAGACATAATCTCCTAAATCTGAGTCCATTCACTATAACTATATTGACTAACTCATGAGCAAACACAACTTCATTATATTCATACTCAGTCTTCTTTCTAACCAAGTGTATCTTCAACAATTCATGCTTGGGTTTGGTGCACCTAATCCTATTGATTGGATCAGGCTTCAATGTTTGACAAAGAACGTCTCCAAACTTATTTCTTTCAACTCTATCGCGAAACTTAGATTCTTTTTTCGTTGAGTAATAATGTGGTTAAACAACTGAAGATTTGTACTATAAACATTTACACCTCTATCATATGAGACATACATTTGAGCAACTTTGTTGGAGCGAAATTCATATTTATCAAATTGACCATAAGCATTGTGCTTTAGCATAATTTCTCTTACTTCTTTTAAAGGAAGACTCTGTTCCTCAGCCAATTCTTTGAAATTTACTGTTAACTTGCTTTTCATGGAAGGAGGAGCAGCTGAGGAACCACCAGCTTCAACACCATTATCTCCCCCTTAGAATGAAGCCTTTCTTTTTATTGGATTGAGCTAACCATCATCTGAATCAATATCACTATCAGTGCTCTAAGGAATCTCCCCATTAGATAATGCATCAAGATAGACGATATTAAAAGGACTGACAACTTGTGAATTGAATTCCATCTCAATAAAACCTTCATATTCAACATCTTCAATCTTGAACTGAACATTCTTTGGCTCAAACTGATAAGCATAGATCACAATCAGTGTAGTCTTAGGCTAAGCATCATTAGTGTGCTCACTATCATCTAGAGAATCCCTTTCTGGTTGAACAACGTCATCCATTATAGGTTCAGATTAAATACTAGTGTCTTCAGGCTCAAGATAAGGCTAATTTACAACACTGATAGCCATATTTTGATCAATCTCCCCCTTTTTGACATCATCCACTTGAGAAGATGCAAGAGGATTGTTATGAGGTAGAGTGGGAGTTCGAGGAGGAGATTTTGATGGAGGAGAAGGTGGTTATTGAAACCATGAATATGGAGGAGGTTTACTACCAGTTGAGGGTAATCATGGAGGTTGTTGATGATCATGTGGAGAGTCAAGAGGATTATCTCCAAGAATTTTGTCACCTTCTATTAGGCTAACATTACACTTAATATCTACCACATCATTCTCAATATTGGCCACTCTTTCTCCAAGGGAACGAGTCAGTTGAGACAATAGAGAAAGTTCAGAGAGTACTATTCTTAGGAAGTTAGTGCTTGACTCCCCCTAAAATGTAGCAGTGTGTTAGAATGGATTTGGTGGTGGAAGAATATTTGCAACTTATAGATGAGTTTGAAGTGGAGGAGATTTTAGACATGAAATATTAGTAGCTTGAATCAACGGGTCAAGGGTTTCCACTTGTGGAAGAAATGACCCACATTGAATGATACACCCGACAACTTGATTTGATGAGGGAGGGGTTGAAAAGAAGCGAATATGTCTGTTCACTCTTGGAGGTGTTGACTTCTGTATCAGAGTACTTAGTGTCGTCATCATCATCATAATAGTCATCATATTCATAATCAAACACACCATTTTCATCTTCATCATTGACCTCATCTTCTTCAGATTAAGAATCTTCCACCTCATAAGGATGTACAACCAAATTTTCCATATACATAGTCAAATTAGCATCTCCATTAATAGGGCTAGAGATGATTTTTAGTGAAAGAGATGGGATCTGAAAAGAAATTACATGGTTGACATTATAACCCTCACCAACATGAGCTAAGATTAATGCAAGCCAACGAGGATATGGAACATAGGTTGGCTTCTTGTTCCCAGTGATGAATTCAAACATCTTATTAAAGAAGAGACGAGAAAAATTCAATCTCTTGTTACAAGCCATGGCATAAACAGTGCATTGCTCGAATAAAATCAACGGGACCATACTACTAGTCATATGTCCGAGACACTGCACATCACTTCGGTCAATATTTCCATCTAGCAGGGAAGCATTTTCTAAAGGTATATTTGTTTCCATCACGATTACCCTAAGGGTTAAAATTATAACCTAGTTGTTGCTGAATAGATTTGCATTTAACTTTAGAAGGGGCTTCAGAGTATTTATCCAATTGAAGAAGACGAGTAGAAGTTGCAGTGATAACAACCCTAGTATGACCATCTCAACCAGTTCCAGAGATGGTTTGAGAAACAATGTCTATAGTCTTGTAGTAGTAGAACTCACTTACCTTCTTAGGGTAGAATAAATCTAGAACATCACAAAATGCATATCAAAGAGTGCAACTTTTCACAGAGTTAACAAAATCCTTAATGCCCGAGTTTTGATGTTGAATGGGGACGGTATCTGAAAAAGCCACATTGTTTGCTTGGACTACAATGGGAGTCTCAGCGACATTGGACCCTATGATGAAATTAGTAGTTGAATCTTAGAGGAATATAACATGATACATGTTGAAATTAAGAGAAGAACTTGAACCTGAAGAACTTGTAGAAGAGATGATGACGCTCGAGAGAGGTTTTGAGAGAATTCACTCTCAATGTTTAAAAGAGTTGTAAATTTGACCTAGGAGAGATTTCACCTATTTTTATTAAAAAAAATCCTCATCCTTTCATGTAGTCATCATTTGAGAAAAATGTGTCAAAAAATCTCCATTTCAAAGATATCGTTACATATTCTAATCGTTATCTAAAAGTTACCGTTATCGTCAGCGTATCGAATATCTCACTGAGAGATGGCAACAAAAAGTGTCAGTGTATCATGATATGCATCAAAGAGAGTTGAGATTGTAACGTCTCCTGATACCATGTAATTTTGCTATAGGTTATTGACATAGAATTACGAAGTCTCATCAACATAGTGTTTATTAGCTAAATCATAAACTTCACTTATTATAAAAAAAAAAGGGACAAGAAATGTGTGATGTGTGTAATACAATTTGGCGTATTAGTGTACCCATCAGCATATAATGTTGAATTCTTATCAGTGTAAGATAATTACGTTGAACCATGAACTTCTTTAATAGAAGATTTAAACAAAAAAAGAGTGGGTAGGTGCGTGTGATAGCCTACGATACATAGTCTAAACATCAACACATATTTTTCAAGCCATCATCAGCATGTGGCAAGTTACATTGAATCATCATGCTTTAAAGAAGAAAATAATGGAAAGAATGGTTGTTATGTGTGATAGAATACGATACATAGTCTAACCATCAACATAAAATTTCAAACTTTTATCAGTTGGTGGTATCGCATAGTGATTCATCAAGTTCTATGGAAAAGAATTATGGAGAGATAGAATGTTTTAATCACACTGATGTGAAATCAACGTGAATCACTAACAATGTGAAAGCATCAACAAGAAGTGGTTTAATTTCCATATCATAGAGTTGAGTTATAATCTAGAATCAGAAAGATCCACCATTAATTCCTTTAACAAGGTATAGAAAACAAAATAAAAAATAAATAAATAGACATATAATACAAAAGGTTAGTTAAACAAGGAAGTTTCCCAAAAGCGATAACCATGCAAGTTTTACAAAAAAGCAATAAAAACTCAATCCATTAAATCTTTGACTTGAAAACACATTAAAAAAATTCCTTTCTACAAGATATATGATCATCAACACTCTCTATAAAACAGAGCATAAACACGATCGACTATATCAAAACAAATCACAAAACAAGGAAGAGTAAGGCCTCCACTCGTTGAAGTACTGAAGATGGATTCCAAACTTCATGTTCTCCAAGAACATAGAAGATCTGTCTATGCAGTCTTTGTAACCAATCAATTATAAGATTTCAATCTTTGTAACCTTTGAGTTATGTGAATCATCATGACTATATTTGAAGAAATGAAGAGTACTGAATTGCAATTAAAGAGATGAAGGTCATCGATCAGACAATGCGATCTTTGAATCTTTGATGGGAAGAGGTAAGACATTAACATCAACACTAGAGATCAGTCGTGTCATGCTATCTAGTTCCAATTCATTCCATTGAAACAAAAATAGGTTTTAATAAAGGGATGAAAAGATTTGACAAGATGATCTTCCATTTGAAGTGAAAATAACGCTAGTCAGTGTCAGTGAGAAGATAGAAGATCCTGATAAAAGAGAAATGAGACAGAGAGAGAGAGAGAGAGAGAGAGAGAGAGAGAGAGAATAACACAATGTTTTTATTTTTATTTTTGAGTCAATAAAAATAAGGAAATTTATATGCGTATATACATGAAACAAAACAAAAACCCTTAATACATAAAAGGCATGCCCAGTTCATCAGCGAGAGATAATTTTCTAATTGATCATTAGTTTAATAAGAGAGTTATCGTCAAACGTACTACAACCAATACCATATTTTTCATATAAAATTCGTTCATGATAATTATTAGACACTTTCCTTTAAACACTTTATCAGAAAAAGATTGTTCTCCATCTAATACAAAAGTTGGGATTTCCATCTTTCTTGCATTGATCTACAATTTTGGACCAAATGAAAACTATGATGATGAAAAATTCTTATGAAAGATCTTACTTCATCAAATGGAGAGATCTTCTTTGCAATAGAAAAAAATTGGAAACAAAAGAAGACATGATAACATGAGTGTATCGAAAGCCTGATCTGATACTAGTTAATGGTTCTCTTGATTGGATACAAATAAGTATTAGAACTATAAGAGATAAATTAAAAGAGTAAAGAGACACGTGAACAAGGATGACTATTAAGATACTTTTCACACAGAAAAATGTTCTCACACAAAGAACATGTCAGAAAGACAATCACACAAATTTACATTAGGGTTTCACCATTTTGATAACTATATACTAATACATTAATCGGAAATCCCTTTATTTTAGGGATACGATCTAATCTAACTATAGTCTGATCCTTATCACCAAGATTACAGATCATACATATATTATGTAGATACAATACTACCTATAATTACAATATATGTAACCAAATAATAAACAAAAGTGTCGAACTAATGTACAGAAGGTGTCACGTCGTCACTGATGAGATGTTGATGCTAGCGCTGGTGCAAATGGACATCATGTGAAATATGTTTGACTCATTAGATCATAAAGTGTGACCTGACAAAAATATATGGAAAAATCTAATGGTAAGTTATAGTACATGGGAATACCTATGCGTGGATATAAAGAACGTCAAAAATGGAGCTCGTATGCAAAAGTTATCATTTTTTGAAAATCACGAAAAGTACATGCTCAGGGTGATGTTCCGGCACCGGAGTGCGCCACATGGTGAGGCGACAACCTCTTCTCCCAAACAGTATGAAAACCTGGACCACAAGAAAGATTACACGTGGCAAGAACTAACTAGAGCCAGCGCGTCAAAGCACAACACGCTCTTACCCTTAGGCACGACACATCCCCTCGAACAACCTATAAATAGAAATGATAATTCGCTCATTTAATCACACCCTATTCTAAATCTCACTCTCAAACTCTCTTCCACACATCTGGGATCCAACTTTTGAGTCTCAAGAATTTTAACGAGACTCTATTATGATAGAAAGCCTGGAAAAAATAAGTGTTCGGAGTCAAAGTTCTGCTTAAAAAATTTCGGACTTTTATCAGAAAACTTTGTAAGTTATGTTGCACTTACTATTTTTTTAGTGTAACTTATATTTACATTCATATTTGTTACTATGAATCAATAAATATGTTTTATCAGTGATTCCATTTCATAATACATGTAGATCTACTTAGTGGATTTTCCAAAGATTATATATTATAAATATACAAAACGGATCCTACATTTGATATGATCTTACTTGGTTGTTCCTTATTTGATATAACTTGAAGTATTTCTTGCGATTATTGAAGCATTGTAATATGCGTATTTACGGATAAGCTGAAGTATTTAGTCGAGGAGCTAGCTTTCCTAAGGATCTTCAACCTTAATTAAGTGACTGCATAGTTAATTTCATAAACATGATTTTAATACAAGTATTTATTAAAAGTAATTAAATATTTGTTAAAATTTTATATTTGTATTATATACTTATTAACTGGAATATGTGTTAGATGTATATTTAATAATATACGATGTGCGAACCAGATATGGTTCTATATGTGATAAGATGTATATAATATAATATTACACAATATCAATAATAAAAGTATTATTAAATATAAATTTATATTAATACCTTATATTCCATATTAAATTAATGCACTAAATTAAGATAGTGTTGCCTAAATAGAGTTGGTATTAGAAGTTGATTATAAGCATTATAGTGTTGCCTAGTGATAAGATAATGATTAATAAAGGATTCTTAGTTCGAGTTGAGTTGAAAGAGTGTTAGTTATACCCTTTATTGTAAAGATATTACATAGGCAGGAAATTGGTGTTGATTAGAGGCATGGAAATCTTGTTATACCTTCAAAGACCTAAAATGGGTGCTTAGCTCAATTGAGTTTGGATATTGGGTAACAACCTATTAACGGTATGTCTTAAGTAGGAACGGAGAGTAGAGCTCCGTTCAATGACATTAATGACAAGTATGGTATGTTTTACTTATATGAGTACTATAGTAGTATTCCCCCTCCTTTTACTTTCTAATAAGCTTTGAGAGTTATCGATCTCTTTTACGAAGTGATCAGATGAGCTTTGTGAGTCATCTAGTGGTGTATATATGTAACAGCCCGGAATTTCAGGTATTACTTTAAATTAAATTGGGGAATATTTAAGGGGGGAACTCGGCGAGTTGATGCCTGACTCGCCGAGTAGGACCACAGTCTTAGTCACAGATTCGCGACTGGACTCGACGAGTCCATTAGGGACTCGGCGAGTCGACGCTGTTCAGCTGAAACCCTAGCCGTTTTGATTCTGGATCGTATATAATGCCTTTAGGGCCGTCATGTCTCGTCTTTTGGCCGATTGAAGATAACCAAAAAGTCTGTGGGCATCTGGAACAAGGGTAAAGGCTAGTGGAAGCTTGAAGAGGTTGTTAGGCAAGGAGAGGCAAGGTGGTGATCAAATGAGAATCAAGGG